GTTTCTTGGGTTGTTTTTTTCCCTTTGTACTTGCCTGTTTACTGTATCTGCTGTGAAAATAGAGCTGAACCCAAGAAATGAACATCTTTACCTTGGATTGTTTCTATTATGCTACAACAGGCTGAAACACCAAGCGATTAAATCTCCTTTGCAATTAGAACATATATGACTTTTGGGAAGGGAAGGAAGGGGAATGACTTACAGGTGAAGAAAGGTGAAGAATGAGGCTAAGAGTTTCTCTTCTTTAAGACTGTTTTGTCTTCTAGCAGTAGGCTGAAATCAGACTGGTTCCTAAACTGAATTCTTTCATGCTGAAAGGAGCCTCTTTGAGGAGAGAACTTCATTTCATGCTGTGCTGATGAGAGCACTGGCCTGGACTGGAAAGATTTTGACGGGTGAATTTTGAGTGCATGTTTGTGGTGTTTGCAGTGCTTTGGCATTGACAGATGATCCTTGCAGCCAAAGGTGAGGCTGGCTGACCCTCCCTGAGCAGTTTCCATGACAACCTAGCATTTTTGAATAATCTTGGTTTATAGGAAATCTTTTTCTCCCTCCCCTTTCTCCCAGCATTAGTTTCTCTCTTTTTTGCAGGTTTTTTTCATCACACCTTAGAGGAGTTTTACCATTTTTTGTGAAAGCTATGAATATATTAATACACACCACCACCACCCCCCCTCCCCTTTTAGAACACTTCTCCATAGTGTTTCAGGAAAATGGTGATAACTTGGAATAAAATTAGCGATTTTTCTACTAACTGATAATACTGGCTGGTTGTTCATGTCTTAATTTCCATTCCTCTTACAAAACAAAACAGTTATTTAACTGAGGTGTGGGCTTGTAGCAAGCTCTTAGCTCCCCCATTGTCTAGGTTAAGGTTTGTAAATCCGTGTCCCTCACAGAAGAGAGGCAGAATAAGCAGTTTTCATGGCCAGCTGTTCTTCGGTAAGTAACGCCCAAAGCAGAGTCCTGTCTGAACACCCAGGCACTTCTGCCAGGGAGCTTTTACCTACTGTCGTTGTATTCTTGGTAATATATTGTCCTTTTCTGCAGGACATATCGGGATTTCTCTTTTTCAGTGTTCTAGGCACTGCTGTTCTGAGTTTGGCAGTGCTACGTTTAAATGACCGTTTTTATAAGAAAATTTAGGTTTGTCTTATGAGTTTGTCATTGGACTTACATTCCTATTAGTGCCTGAAGATCTCTCTGGCATGTGCTCAGCCTCTGTCTTTGCCTGTACTGCATTTTAGTTCTTTCCTGCTTTTGCTACTACTAGTACGGATGTGTGGTTTGTACTGAGAAAACCACTGGTGACTTCAGCTGAGCAAGGGGATGCGAGTTTCCTCATGAAGAAAAAACGCTGCTTCAGACTTCCATTTCAGCCTTGCTTTGGCCATTCTGTTCTCTTCCAGGAAAAGAGTCTTTGTTTTGCCTGTGGACATTCACACCCTGCTTCCTCTGTAGGCCTGGAGGCAGTAATCAGAAATTTTCACTTCCTTTTGCAGTTTAGGGCTGCCCAGTGGGAAATTGGCTTTGTCAGGAATAGCTGGAATCCTGATTGCACGGATCAAGATGTTAATTTAACACCCTAGTTCTTTCATTTCTTTTAAAGGAAAGAAAAATACAAGATTAATTTCTGCTACATGTCCTTTTGCCTCTGTAGTTTTGAGGTTGAGCCTGTCTAGATGAAAAAATCTTATTTATATTGTAGTATCAAGGGCTTTCTGACAATAGCAACTTTACAACTGGGGAAAGACATTTAGGAAAGAAGTACTTTAGTCAAATGTATGGTAATTCTATTGAGGATGTATTAATAATCTTGATTTCTCAAGGTACAGAGAATGCATTGTATGTGTCCTAGGCCTAGCACTTCTTATGTATGAATTCCTGAGTATGTGTGTCTGTGTAGCTGTACTAGCCTCAGCAACCACCGATGGTTTTTAAGTTCAATAACTTATAAATGACTGAGGCCTGTATATCATTGAGAAGATGTAATTAATTGTAAAGGTTATCAGGGCATTAGGCATTGGACTTTCACAGAATCACAGAATGGCAAGGGTTGGAAGGGACCTTGGGATATCATCTAGTCCAACCGCCCTGCTAAAGCAGGTTCACCTAGAGCATGTTACACAAGATTTTGTCCAGGCGGGCTTTGAATACCTCCAGAGAAGGAGACTCCACAACCCTCCTTGGGCAGCCTGTTCCAGTGCTCTGTCACCCTCAAAGTAAAGAAGTTTTTCCTCATTTCAACTTTAAAGCTACACTGTTGCATGTATCTGCATGCTTGCTCTGTTTCCCCTTTTGTCCCCCTTCCTTTAACTTCAGCTAGCACATAGATGTAAATTATTTTGATTTTTAATAGTGACTTTTTGAGGAAAGTATTAGTTCCAGGACTAATGTAATGCACCATCCGTGAGCTTGTAATCCCAGCTTTCAAAGTGCTTAGTAAAAGTAGGCTAAAGCTCTCAAAAATAAGAGTCTGGAGTAAAGCTTTTATGTCCATATTTAGACATTTCAAGTAAGAGACTTGATTTTAGAAAAATTGCTAACTATCCTGAATACCCCATGACTTCAGGCACTGCTAAAAGAGTTGTGAACTTGGTCCCCAATTTGAATAGTTTGTGAGGGTTTTATTAAAAATAAGTTATGGGTTGCTAAGGTCGCTTAGGACTGTGGGGGAGATCAGCAAGGGGGGTATGCAGAAGGACCTGACTTTAGACATGGGACAGGCGTACGCATACTCTGCCTGCAAGTGTTTGCATGGGAACTTTGTGCACCGTGGTTTGAAGGCTGTGAGCACACACCCCGGCATACCTGGTGGGCTGTGCCCTCAAACCCAGCACTGTATTCGAGATGCACTTGTGTCTACAGGCATGCTTGTGTGGGGTGCAGCAGAGATCGCCAGTAGTTAGAGAGAAGGCAGCAGTGTGGGCAGTAAACTCTGCTCCAAGTCCCCTGTGTGTTCATCTAGGCCACTTCATCCTTGTATGTGCAGTTCGAGGTGTCTAGAGGAAAAACTGCCTCAGGTTTGCGTGCTGAGATCAGAGCTCTGGTTGCAGCCTCCATGGATCTTTTGAAAGCGTTGGAGACAGTTGAGGTTTGGGGTGGTTTTATATGTTCATGGCTCATTCCAGTCTCCCAGGAAGTGCTGATAAATTGAAAACAACAAAAAAAAGTTACACTAGCATGCAACCTGCATTGTCTTTTCCTGCCTTTTCATTCTTTTTTTTGAAATACAATTCCATACCCATGATGTTCTCCATCGTGTTCATTGTTAGAGGCAAGGTTTCTCTTGGAGAGGCAGAGTTGAAGAAGTCCGGGAGATCCTGCTGTCACATGCTTTTGCATCGTAACTGGTCTTTGGAATAGAATTGAACAAAATGGATTGATTCTCTTATGTCCGGGCAACCTTGAGCAGTCTTCTGACTGAGTGGTGATCAGTGCCTAGCCAGGTAAACTGTGTACAGCTGGTGTTTGCCACAAGTGTAAATTGTTTTATTTCTGAGACCTCCTTTTTTTTTGAGTGCTATCAAGGTGGTAATGGAATCCATCCATAAATGTGCCCAGCTCTTGCATTTGCTATTTTTGCTGTTGTCTGCCTTCTGCAGGCTTCCAGGGTGATCTTTCCCTCAACCTACCTTAAGGCATGATGCTTCTCTGCTGCTTAGTTTCTTTTTCCTGAACAGAATGACTGGTGATCTAACTAAGCAGCTGAGGTGTCAGTTTGCAAATGGGTGGGTAATAGCTCTAAAGTAAGCTTTAAACTTTTTATTGCTTGGTTGAAGGGGTGGGGCGTGGTGTTTTAGTGGGGGCTGGAATGTTAGCCAAGCCCCTAGAATAGAGACCATGAAATTCTTAGCTCAGGGATCTGGAGTGCAACATATGGGTTAGGTGAGAGCCAGTCATTTCCCAGTGCTGGAGTAAAGCTTAGACACAGTGGGTTATTTGACCAAACAACAGTGTTGCAACCCGAAAGCAGGATACTGAAGCTCTTGAAATGAGTCATCTTTGAGAAGAATTGGAAGGTCAACTGGTCAGTTTTAAGGGTGAGTTTCAGCAAAAGCATGGTTGTACTCAACCGAGTCTTTCTGGGGACCCGGCATTGGTTCTTTAAAATGATTGTCAACTTCAGCTGGAGCACTCAAATTGTTTTTAAATTATGCCTTACTTTTTCTGTATACGTTAGGCTATATATGGGGTTTCTAACTGTTTAGAAATCTGAGGTTAGTGCATTTGCTCAACTTTAATTTTACTAGATAAAAAAAAAGGTATCATTGCTTGTTTTTTCTAATATGATTTTCATAGTTGTGTTTAAAAGGTAAGTTGGATAAATGACCGTGAAGTTGGTAGGTAAGAAAGAAAGCATTAGATATTTCTTTCTTACTTCAACCTAAATAGTTTGGGTTAGTTATATATTAATATTTATATAACCATAATGCAGCTGAATGCTTGGATCTTGATGCTGAATTGTTTGATATATTTAGTAGCAACAAATACAGATGTACATATAGCCTGCTTTGACAAGATCAGTTGCTTCTGTAATTATAAAAAAAATCTTACTAACATGCCTGTTTTCCATTTACTATGTCACATGCTTTACATTATTTTGAAGGCTGCATAGACATGTAATTACAGGTTCCCCCTTCCTGATATTAATTAATGCATAAACGTTATTCACTAGAAGAACAGTTGAGTAGTGTGTACATGTGTTTCTGAACACAAGGTGTTTCAGGACAGAGGATCCCAAAGCTCATCTTAATCCGTTCTGGACTACCAATCAGGATCACTTGTAATAATATTCTCAACTTCAGTTGCTGAAAGGTGCCGTTTCTTGCAGCACTGTGAAAGTGTCTTAGATGTTTTTAATGTGTTAAACTTGCTGTAAATGAAGCAATTGCTGCTTTGGCATCTCTCCAAAGTTTGGCATGCAGTGAGGTTTCATCTAGCACCAACAGCAATTGCTGACTTCTTAAAAAAGAAATTTGGCATCAGACACCAAAATTCTTTTTTCATCAGTGACCTACTTGCTTTAGTTGTCACTGTTCTAGTCTTCTAGCCCTTATTTATACCTCTATAAGATCAAGATCAAGACATGGACAGAACATGGCTTGGCGATGGCTCTTTTTCGCTGCAATCTCGATGCATTTATTTTTCCGAAACCTTTCCCTTCCTCCCCCCCCATCCCTTCTGTCCTCACACCTACTTCAGTCCCTGCCAAACCCTTTCCTCTCACTGTTTGAGGGGAGCCATTGCAACACACTTTCCCTGCACTTAGGATGCGCACATTTTTCACCTTAGCTCAGGCTTCCCTGAGGCCTGAGCTGCTCTTATCTGCCTGAGACTCCAAACTGATAAGCCAATTTAATTGGAATGGGGTGTGGTGGTTGTTTATCCTTCATTACACTGAAATCTAGTGACATAGAATAGAAAATGAAATGAGAATGAATTAGAATACACAATAAGTACATCTGTCATGGATCAGATGCCCAGCACGTGTACCCTTAAACAGCTTGTGTTGCCCTATGTGAAAACATCTTCCACAGTACAAGCTGATCTTAGTTATTTATTGTGATTCTGACTTCTGACCTAAAAGCCAGCAGGGCTTTTGCATGCTTCAGCTCAAAATAACTTTATAAGACACGCTGTTATTTATCTTCATGTATTCAGTAAGCTTGTTCTTAACAAATATGGGAGAAGCTGACAGCTCTCCTGCTTCGCATGGTCGCTGGACAGTTGTTGGTTCACAAATCTGATTCCTCTGATAGGACTTTCTCAAAGGGGATTTATTTGTGGCATTCTGTGTTACGTTTTTCCCCTTCTAAGGGTGTTGTTGAAACATGCAGCTTGTTTGTCATGGCTGCCCCTATACCAACAACAGCAAACAGTCAGTAAATTATTTATATAATTAATTTTTCATCTAAGAGACTACAGGCCATCTGTTGATTTGCATAAAATAGCAGCATAGTCACTCTGTATCTATTTCAGTACCTTTTGAGGGAATGATATGAATAGCAAACATGTCCAACATAATCATTCTGGACAATGGAATGACCACTGAATTGTCTTTATAAACGTATCTGACTTGTTCTGCAGAAGAATAACCTCACATTTGAAGCCTTTGAGTGGACCTCTGTGCTGGTGCCCATCAGTTTGGTTAGGTCCTGTGAAATCAAAGTAGCTTGTACCAAATGGTGCAGAATCAGGTTCAATATTTACAGGCCTACTGTACAGTGTTTGTGAGATGGTTGTGGTTTTGCCTTGTTCATGTAGGTGCCACTGAACTGCTGCTTCTAGCCCGCCGGACAGATCTGAGGCGAATTTCCTTAGACACCCCAGATTTTACAGACATTGTTTTGCCACTGGAGGACATCCGTCATGCCATCGCCATTGACTTTGATCCTCTGGAAGGATACATCTATTGGACTGATGATGAAGTTCGGGCTATCCGCCGCTCGTTCATCGATGGGTCAGGTAGTCAGTTTGTTGTCACAGCACAGATTGCGCATCCTGATGGCATTGCTGTGGACTGGGTTGCCCGAAATCTGTATTGGACTGACACTGGCACAGACCGTATTGAAGTTACAAGGCTTAATGGGACCATGAGAAAAATCTTGATATCAGAAGACCTGGAAGAACCCAGAGCTATTGTGCTGGATCCCATGGTTGGGTGAGCAGCTGTTCATTAGCATTTTTTAAATGTTAGTCGTGTAAACAAGATACTGCTGTCTACCTGTATGCAGATGTGAACTGTCTGTGCAACAGTTGCATATGAACAGATGCAATGATAAACTTTGAGTCTTCAAAATGAAAACACTGGGATTCTTTGAAAGTTAAGGCTCTGAGGCACAGGGACTACTGCTTCCCTTTAACTGCCTCGCTAGTCTTCTTATGGGTCTGTAGGTTTTATTCTCCTGTTTAAAAATATTTTGGGGGACTGTGTTGACCTGTTTGTTTATTGTAGCTAATAGCACTGGTTATGTTGTCTTGCTGAGCAGACTGATATGTGAGTTTTGTGTAAAGGGAAAGTGTTTTTACATGTTTTTACACTTTCTGAATGGTTTGGGCATCCTTACTTTGGTAAGGAAATATATTTGGCTTAGAAATGTACTTCTCTGTGTGTGATGTGGTTTCGGGGAACAGTAGTCCAGAAGAAGCTATATGAATATTGAAATTTTAGTTTAATAAGAGTTCTTAAGATTTTGTTTCCCTTGCAGGTACATGTACTGGACTGACTGGGGAGAAATCCCGAAGATCGAGAGGGCAGCATTAGATGGCTCAGACAGAATTGTACTGGTGAATACTTCACTTGGCTGGCCAAATGGACTGGCATTGGATTATGCAGAAAGTAAAATATACTGGGGAGATGCCAAAACGGACAAAATAGAGGTTTGTAATTGCACCTGCATTTTTAATTCCATGGATTTGTAGAAAGTAGCTACTCTACTTTTCTAGGTGTTTAAATTCTGATATAGCCCAAAAGGGCAATGGGATAATGGTTGATTCGTGCTTTAAGAAACAATTCGGTTTCTCCTCTGGTTTTGGATGAGTTACTTACTATTCTTCCTCCATTTTTCTGTGTGTAAAATGTAAATGATATCCATGTAGTACATCCCTCTTTTTAAGAATGTATGGTAAGGATCTGTTAAACAAGTCAATTCTTAGGTCATCAGGAAAAAAAGCTTTGTACTGTGAGTAATCTTTGTAGGTTAAAAAAAATTATCTTTCATTCTTTGCGCTGCTCTGCTAAGATGCTATTAGAACATATTTTAAAGAAATAAATCTAATTTCACATATAACTATTTTTATTCCCCCAAATCCTCTATACTTTGCATCTCCCTTGTTTTATTAGGGTTCCAGTGAGGGGATAAGTTTTCCTTTCTTTCTGGTATGTTATGCTGCAACTTTTAATTGAAAACAAAAATGGTGTTTTTCTTCTCTTCCACATTGAAAACTTTGTGTTTATTTTGTTATATAACATTTATGGAACAAATTTGACAAATTTGAGAAAATAGTATTGTTTAGTATTTGTTCAGTTTACTATTAAAAGGCAGAAGTTTATCTGGAAGCAGGAGACTTGGCACCATCTACCTTTGCTATATCCTGATAGATTTACTTTACTTTTGATGACTTGTAGCTTTCCTTAGTGAATCCTTACCATTGCATGTAATTTTCAGCACTTATCATATCAGGCACAATATCTTCTCTAGCCTTATGAAATAGTTTTATTTATTTATGACTTCAAATAAGTCAATGTGAAGTCATAGTCTTGTGCTGGAAGGTCACATAACTGTTTGTTCTCCTTCAGAGTCAAAGTAACTCCAGTCCTGCAAGGTGAGTTGCTTTGAAGCACTCCTTGGGAGAGCCTCAGGGAGCACGGTTTTCTTTGTCCTGAAAACAAGATTTATAGTCTATAATTCACCTAACATTATACCAGCTCTGAGAAAAGAGGGGGAAAAGATTCTTAGCTATGCTTAGAGGTTTATTTATAACAGATTGAGCATTTCAGCCCTGATACTGTCTTGGACTTGAATGTATTTTGCTAACGGAAGGTTAGGCATTCTCCACTCTGTGCTTGCCAAAACACTGAGATTTTTTCATGTGCTTCAGTCTTACTTAGACCACGGTTCCATATTCATTAATAATGATTCTGTTCAGTGCTGGATCAGTTTGTGGTAGAAATTTTCATGTAGATCAGGCATGAGCTCACTGGTGCAATTCTATCAAACTGGCTAGAACACATGATATAATGTTCATGCCAACATCACAATGTCTATGGCAGGACAGAAGATATCTGATCTGGCACAGTCTGCTGGGACAATTTCCATTTCATTGTTTTTAAACCAATGTGAGCCAGCAGAATGAGTTTGTTCCAGGTTGTCGTGTAACATATATGCAGGGCATTGGAGAAGATTTATCATCTTAAGGTTTCAGAATTACTAGTTATTTTTTTCCTGTGAGGCTCCAAGTGTTAGCGTTATGATTTTACTGCTGCTGCTTTTTATAAAAAGTTAACATTTGTTGACTCTTACCAGTGTGCAGAAAATCTTGAGAAAGCATGGCTAAAACGTTTAAAGCAACAGAGAAGAAATTCTCTCACAATTTTTCTTTGGTGTTTTTGGATTTTAGTTTTGCTTGAGGATTTGGGGTTTGTGGTTTTTTGGGGGTTTTTTGGAGGTTTGTTTTTTTTTTTTTATTGCAGAAGGTCTTAATTTAGGGGTATGTGGCAGAGATCTATAAAATAAAGAAAATTATAAGGTGACCCGGACTCCCTCAATGCATCTTTTTTGATAGAAAAAAAAATGGCATTTGTAAATGATACTGGCAGGTGATGGGTGCAGAAAAAATAAAAGCAGATGATTCTTCAAACAGTGTGGTAAGATGGGGATGTTAAAAGCTTACATGTGTTACTGGGAAGACTGGGTAAGTCTGTGGAAGAGAGTTCCACTGCGGTTTACTAGAAAATAGAATTGCCTTCTGAACCACAAATCACTGAACTGTAAATTGCTGTAGAATTAAAAAGGCTTCTTGAAAAGTTTTAGTATGTATTTGCTTTATTATGCTGCTCTGTCAGTGTAAGTTTTGGTTATTCTCTGAGACAGGATACTGGGGTGGGTGGACCTTTGGATTGAACCCATTCAGCCTCTCTTTTCCTGTGTTGAGGCCATTCTGTTCCTTGTAGGTCTGGGGAGTCTTTATTCTGTTAGCTTGTTGCATTAGCTTTAAGAAAAACTTCATGTTCTTGATTAGATGTAATGTTGCTGCTTGCTAACTGCACTTCAGAGGGGCAGAAATGGGTTGAAAACCAATGACCTCTGATAGTGATAGATCTGAGTGCAAGTTCAGTACAGCTTCTGTAATTAGTAAAGCATGGAAAGGCTCTATAGGATGAAGAGGGGGTATTCATCCAAGAGAAAGGTTCAGTCTAAAGTAGATACCCCTGCCTCTAATGTGCTAAGTAATGCAAATGTAGTGGTGAGTTTCTTTACTGAGGAATCTTGGTGCATTTTCCTTAGAATCTTGTGTGGCCTCTCTGTAATCTTCTATGAGAGCATTGACTTCGTTATGGTAAGGCTACAGAAATCTCAGGCTGCAATGACACTATCTAAATCTATGATAGCTAAAATATTACTAACATTTCAAGTCTTCCCTTTTCCTCCCACTGCCTTTCTCTCCTATGGCAACCATGAATCCTGAGGAGATTTGTAACACTTTCCCTGCCCTTCCCATCCATTTTTTATATCAGTTTAGTAGAAGATGCTTTGACCTTCAGTAAATGTTTTCAACTTCTATTTGGAGAAAGGACGCTGGAGGAGGTGCAACAAAGAGGATATCTGTGACAGGATCAAAAGATGAAACTTGGAATTGGACATGAAGACATCAGAATATATGCCTGGTCCCTGCTTTGCTTGTATGTGTTTGTATGTATGTGGGAGGAGGGGTAAAAGCAGGAGAAACATGTTTGTGTACTTGCACTCCATTGCCTTTAAATAGCTTTTCATACACAATTTTACATACATTGTGCTTTTCCCCTTTTTTTTAGTATGTGGTATTCCTCAGAACCATTATTTAATTGCAGCGCTACCAAAATGAATGTGTCTTGCAAGCTATGTTTCTGGTTTGTTTGTGCTACATATGAGCTTTTATTATTTATTTTTTTATGCACTGATTCATGCTATGCTGTTCTGGAGCCCCCAGAGGATAATAAAGCATCAGCAGGGGTTAATGGAGACTGGTAGGGGGTACAGCAGGGAGCTTTTGTTCCCATTTTATCTGGCAGCCTGCAGCAGGCAGAAGCAGGCTGTGGCTCAACAGCTTCGTCATTTATCTCGGTCAGGTTTCACTGCTGATAAACTTCTATTGAAATGGATGGCTGCTATTGTGCTTACCAGTAGGGAAGATTTCTCATTGACTTGCTACAGGTTTAAAGCATTTTCCTGCCGTGCTATGAGGTTAAAAATGTATGATCTGCTCTGTTGAATTGGTCTTATGTTTTCCTGCTCAAGTGAATATTTGTCTTCTGAGCACGTACACTACCTGTTTTAAGGCATAGGTTGGATTTTAAAGTGGTCACAAAGCTCATATTGATAAAGCAATTATAAATGGCTGTGTGCATGTGTGGATGTGTGCGTTAAGAGGAAATAATGATGCTGTGGCTGATTTCTCACAATTTTTCAGTCTTTGCTTCATTTTTCTTTATTCATCTTCCTTCCTATTTTCCATTCTCAGAGCCAGAGATGACACCCACTTACACCTACTAGTGGTGAGCTTAAAGAAAGGACTCTCTGGCTCCTATACAGATCCAACCATTATCTAGTGATTTTTGAGTGCAGCTCTAACTTGAAGTGTTTCTGCATTCCCAAATCTATTAGCTGTGCCTGGCATTACTGTCTCTAATCCTCATGATTAATATGGAAAGTCTTATATCCTGCTGTTTTTCAGCATAAGTACACACAAGTCTTCAGAACCCAGCCTTGTCGGACAACAGAAAGCGGATGCTGCTAAGACTTTTTTGAGCACAAAAATCTGCAACAGAGAGGACCTTTTTGTGTTTGACCCAGCAGCTAATAGCTTGGCATCTAGAGAATGCTCTAATTCATATTCTAATCCTGAAATTGCAGGGCTACATTTTCCTCCGATGACAACTCCCTCAATTTTACCGCCACCCTAATAAGGAAATTTTGTTTTCTAAGCATTCACCATTTATTTTCCAGCTGAGAAATTTTGTCTCATAGCATTAGTCTTTGTATTGTGATACGCTGATGACTTGTAAGCCTGATTACTGATTCTACCTCACCCACCTTTAGTTTGAAGCAGAGGTTTGAAAATTGAGAAGCAGAAACCATTGAATTCCTTGCTGTTGAACACAGCTGCTTTTGTGTACTCCATTAAGTTTTTGCAGGTATGAGAAGTAAGGTAGTTGAAACAAAAATCTGAAGTTGCTTTACTGTTTAATTTTGGCCACAATTCATTATCCGCCTGGTTTGGATAGTTGTGGCACTTGGGAACATCTCTCGGCAAAGAACAAGTATGTGCTGCAGAGGGTAGGGGCAGATTCCTCTCCTCCATCCCACTTTCAGAAATTTAAACTTACTTTGACAGAGAATTTCCAGCTATTTCTTAATGCCTGCTAGGCCTGCATTAAGAAAAATTAGAAATTTTTGAAATTAGTAGTAGAGTAAGGGCTTATTTTTTTAAAAAAAAAAAAACAATTAGTTTATACTTTGAATAATTTCCATGTGGGAGGTTTCTTTTGAACTTCTGAATGAACTTAGGGAAGAATTAAATTTTGTGATGCAGACCATGATGGGAAAACTATATTACAGAGCAAACAAATGATGCCATAGACCACGAATCAGTAAAGTCTCCTGACTGTCGAAGATCTGGAT